AAAATGGTCATGGTTGTTGGAGGTCAATCATCTCAGCTCCAGGACATCTCTGCAGGAGTTCCTCAAGGTAGTGTCCTCGGCCCAACCATCTTCAGCTGCTTCATCAATGACCTTCCCTCCATCATTAGGTCAGAAGTGGGGATGTTTGCTGACGATTGTGCAATGTTCAGCACCATTCGTGACTCTTCAGATACTGAAGCAGTCCATGTTCAAATGCAATAAGATCTGGACAATATCCAGGCTTGGGCTGACAAGTGGCAAGTGACATTTGCCACACAAATGCCAGGCTATGACGATCAATGAGAATATCTAACCACTGTCCCTTGACATTCAATGGTGTTACCATCACTGAATCCCCCACTATCAACATCCTGGGGGTTATCATTTACCAGAAACTCAACTGGATTCACCACATAAACACAGTGGCTATGACAGCAGGTCAGAAGCTAGGAATACTGTGGCGAGTAACTCACCTCCTGACTCTTCAAAGCCTGACCACCATCTACAGGGCACAAGTCAGGAGTGTGATGGAATACGCCCCACTTGCCTGGATGAGTGCAGTCCCAACAACACTGAAGAAGCTTGACACCATCCAGGACAAAGCAGCCCACTTGATTGGCACTACATCCATAAACATCCATTCCCTCCATCACCAATGCTCAGTAGCAGCAGTGTGTATTATCTACAAGATGCACTGCAGAAATTCACCAAAGATCCTCAGACATCACCTTCCAAACCCACGACCACTTTCATCTCGAAGTACAAGGGCAGCAGACATATGGCACCAGATCACCACCTTCAAGTTCCCCTCCAAGCCACTCACCATCCTGACTAGGAAATATATTGCTATTCCTTCACTGTCAATGGGTCAAAATCTTGGAATTCCCTCCCTAATGGCATTGTGGGTCAAACCAATGCAGATGGACTGCAGCTATTCAAGAAGGCAGCTCACCACCACCTTCTCAAGGGCAGCTAGGGATGGGCAAGAAATGCTGGGCTCAGCCAGCAACGCCCACATCCCACAAATGAACAGGGGGAGAAAATCTATACAAAGCACTAGTCACATGACAGCAGGAATGCTTTGAATAATTTTGGTCCCATTATCTGAGGAACGATACATTGTCACCCAGAAAAGGTTCACTTCGTTGAAGGGTCACTTGATTCAAAATGTTAGCATTTGTGGAGGGAAAGCAGAGTTGCCAGAAATATTGAGCTTCTCCAGCAATTTCTGATTTTGTTTCACTAGACTGATCCTGGCTATGGCGAGACTGTGTCTTAGGAGAGAGTTTGAGCCTCTATTCGTTAGATTTTAGAAGAATGGGAGGTGACCTTATTAAAATATAAGGTTTTTAGGGGACTTGACAGGGTAAGTGCAGGAAGGCTGTTTATGGACCAGAGGACATAATCTTAGAATAAGGTATTGCCCCTTTAAGACAAGCATAAGGAAGTATTTCTCCTGTCAGAGGGTAGTGAATCTGTGGAATTCTTTACTGCAGAGGCTGTGTCATTAAGTATCTTCAAGGCTGAGATAGACAGGTTTTTAATTGCTGGTTATGGGAAAAGGCAGGAAAGTGGAATTGAGTATCAGATCAACCATAATCTTATTGATCATTGGAGCAGACTCATGGGCTGAATGGCCTACTCCTGCTCCTATTTCATGTGGTTTTAAAAAGGAATGTGACTCCTTTATCCCAGTCAGTCTAACTTTGGTGGTGGGAAAATTTAGAATTCTGAGGGACAGAGTATACCTGTACTTGGAGAGACACTGATTAACCAAGGATTCCAGCATTGATTTGTTAAGATAATATTTCAAAAAAGTTGATTAAATACTTTGAAGAGATAATCAGGAGTATTGAGGGTAGTGATGGTTTTGATAAGGTCCCTCATGACAGGTTAAGGAAGTAAGAGCCCGTGAGATCAAAGGCAGAGTGACATATTGGTTTCAGAATTGCCCGAGAGGCAGGAAGGAGTGGGTGATGGTAGGGGTATGTTTCTGTGACTGGAAGTCTGTTTCCAGGACATTCTACGGGGCTGGGTGCTGGAGCCTTTGCGGTATGTATTCTATGTTAGTGACTTCAACTTAAATGTAAGGGCTATAATCAAGAGGCTTGTAGATGCCACAAAAACTGGTGAATGGTAAATGGTGGGCAGGACAGCCATAAACTGCAGGAGGATTTCAGTGGACTGTTCAGCTGGACAGAACAGTGGTAAATTTAATTCACACTAGAAAAGTATAAAATAATGCACTTAAGGAGCGCTGACAAGGCAAGGAATGACATTTGCAGGTACTGACGATCAGAAGGATCTTGATGAGCATATCTAAAAGATCTATGAAGGCAGCAGGACAAGTAGATAAGGTAGTTAAAAAGGCATTTGGGATGCTTGCCTTTATTAACTGAACTACAGAATACATGAGCAGGGTAGATAGTGATGTACCTTAGCCTGGAAGGATGGTTGAGTCAGGAATGCTGTCCTAGCATTGAACAGGAATTAAATGTTTAATTGTGTTGCTCTATTTTGTATTTCAGTATGTTGTCATCTGATGGCAAAAAGTCCATCTATCACGTCACATCTGTTGCTCATCTTGAGTTGTCCCTGACACCATGTGAGCAAGAACCCTTCCTTGAAGGATGTGATTGGATTTTTAAGATTATCCACTGGCTTCACTTCTTTTAACAGAGAAGAGCTCCCTCGGCTCTTCTTACTGTTGTACGCTAGAGAGTTCAACAGTGAATTCACATGTACCATCTCTGTCACGCCATAATGAGATTATGAACCTATCTATCTTGGTGGTGATGTTTGATGAATGCATAATAGCTTCCAGGCGAATTCCCCACATTTTCAAAATAATATCTTGGAATCTTCAGCAGACACTTGGGAGCTTTGGCCAATGTCGCAGTCCTCTCTATTACTTTGTGCAAATGAAGCCCTTAGTCTGGTCTAGCTATTAAATCTGCAACCTTTCGACTCTGAGAAATGTCTGCTCCTCATTGAGCTATGGCTGACACGCAAATGAGATGGTGGGAGCTGGCCAGTGCCAATGGATCCCTTACCCTAACGAGGATCAGAAAATAGAAGTTGCTGGAAAAGCTCAGCAGATCTGGCAGCATCTGTGAAGAAAAATCAGAATTCATGTTTTGGGTCTAGTGATTCTTCCTCAACTGATGGAACTAGGAAAATTGAATCAGAGATAGTAGAAGGGTCTAGAACATAGAACATTACAGCGCAGTACAGGCCCTTCGGCCCTCGATGTTGCGCCGACCTGTGAAAGCAATCTGAAGCCCATCTAACCTAAACGATTCCATTATCATCCATATGTTTATCCAATGACCATTTAAATGCCCTTAAAGTGGGCGAGTCTACTATTTTTGCAGGCAGGGCATTCCACGCCCTTACTACTCTCCGAGTAAAGAACCTACCTCTGACATCTGTCCTATATCTATCACCCCTCAATTTAAAGCTATGTCCCCTCGTGCTAGCCATCACCATCCAAGGAAAAAGGCTCCCACTGTCCACCCTATCTGATCCTCTGATCATCTTGTATGTCTCAATCAAGTCACCTCTTAACCTTCTTCTCTCTAACAAAAACAGCCTCAA